AGGGAGGGGGTTCTAAGGGGGGTATAGAACCCAATAATCCCCCAAGTCTTTTTAGGGCTTCCTTAGGTTCCCTAAAGCTCCCTAGGACCCTCCCCCCCTGAGCCACCCTCCTTTAAGGATCCTATAATCGCCAGATCTTGGTATGAACCCTCGGCCCCAATACCTGAAGGACCTACTACTACAGCCCTCTGTGTTTCAACAAAGCTCTGAACCCAAAATAGATCCACAAAGTCCTAACCCTAAACCCTATTATAGGGGCATAAATAATTACAAATACTGTTTTGGGGGCTCCTTAATATAATTACAGCTAGAATGGGCCCCAAAAACCCTGTTTCTAATATATTAAGGCCCCTACATTTTTCGCGATCTTCAGGTTGGCGGAACCTCTCCGCCCTCCACTGGCACTTTCAGTCTCAGCCCTTGCCGAACTCCTTGGGGAACGCTGCCCACCTCTTCATGCCCGACTCGATCAGCCCTCCGGCTCAGGGTTCAGGGTTTAGGGTTTAGGGTTTGTCGTAGGGTTTCGGGCTTGGCTTTAAGGTTTAGGGGTTTAGGCTTTAGGGGTTTAGGTTTAGGTTTTGGGGTTTAGGTTTTGGGGTTTAGGGTTTAGGGTTTAGGGTTTAGGGGTTTAGGGGTTTAGGGTTTAGGGTTTAGGGTTTAGGGTTTAGGGGTTTAGGGTTTAGAACCATGAGGTGCTTGTTGGGGTGGGCTCGCGATGAGGACTTGGAGGGTGGAGGCGTGTCTGAGAGTTCAGTGGCATGGAGAAAATCGAGGACGTAGAGAGACCGAAGCTTCTGGTGCGTAGGGGCCGCTACTGAAAGGATCATGGGACTTAGCAAGTAAGGGTATAAGTCCCTTAACTGGGGTTATAAGTAGAGTTACAGTAATTAAAATCCTACTTACTAAGTCCCATGATCCTTTAAGTATGGGATGAGAATCCGTTGAAGCTCGAACGTTCTGTTGTTAGACTTCCCAAGTGAACCGAAGATCACGGTCTTTCGAGTTGATGTCAAGCTAAGACAGTGGGGTTTAGGGTTTAGGGTTTAGGGTTTGAGGTTTAGGGATTAGGGTTTAGGATGGCTTCTGCCCTGAAGCATACAATGGCTTTGCATTTAAACCCCTTGCACAAACAGGACGGGTCGTGGCCTGATTACAGAAGCTTGAGACCTTGACGTCTGATGCACGCCGTTGGATCGAGGGTATCATGAGGCAGCACAGATGCCCATCATCCTTATACCCTAAACCCCTAAACCCCTAAACCCTAAACCCCTAAACCCTAAACCCTAAACCCCTAAACCCTAAACCCCCAAAGTTATAACCCTTGGTCTAGGGCCTTGGAGGGCACGTTTCCCTCACGTTGGGGGTTGGCTTTGAGGATTCGCTGATGCGGTGCGTCTCCCTCGTATCTTCTGCGCAGATCCCTAAACCCTAAAACCCTAAACCCTAAGCCCTAGACCCTAAAACCCTAAACCCTTAAACCCTAAACCCTAAACCCTAAACCCTAAACCCTAAACCCTCATCCCTAAACCCTAAACCCTAAACCCTAAACCATCAGCTCCAATCGAGGCTCCAACTCTGAAGCCCAGCCGAAACCGTTCCTGAACCGGCCTGAACGACTTACCCATAGGCCCTAAAGTTCCTATAGGGTTTATAGGGTTTTGGGTTCAGGGTTTAGGGTTTAGGGTTTAGGGTTTAGGGTTTAGGGTTCAGGGTTTAGGGTTTAGGGTTTAGGGTTCAGGGTTTAGGGTTTAGGGGTTTAGGGACTACCCATAGGCCCTAAAGTAGTTCCTTTTTGGGGGTGCATATATAGAATCCCATGAGGTAACCCAAAAAAGGAACTACTAAGGGACCTATGGGTAAGCCCAAAATTCTGCTGAAGCCCGAATCCTAGAGTCCAGCAGCCCTGGCAGAGGCCATGCGTCGACGCTGTTTGCCCTCGTCGTGGAGATCGGTCCCTAGCCGGAATTTCGGTGTTACGCAGAGGGTAGCTTCAAGCATTTCTGGGCTCTTAAATTTCAGCAGAATCCTTTTTTGTGCAGGGAGTGCTTCGACAAAGGATGCTTCTCCTTCGGGTCTACTTTGATGAAGTTCCACAGACATTTAGAGGACGTCGTGTGTGCAGGCATGCGATGGTCTTCTTGCAGTCTGCCACAGCTTGGCTTGAGAAGTCTTCCAGAATTGCGTCGTCGAGTGTGCCCATGTCCTGTCCACAACGATTCCGGGCGAAACCCTAAACCCCATTGTAAACCCTAATCCCTAATCCCTGAACCCTAAACCCCAAACCCAAAGAGGTAGGAGACTTTCAGATGCCACGCTTCGGTAGACGGGGGTGGGAGGCAGCATCATGAGCATCATGGGACATCAATTTCCCCCGAGAGGGCAAGCCTCAGAGATTTGCACGTCACAGAGAATGTCTAGGCACAGAACAACACCGACCTCCAGAAGTGGAGTCGTCCAAACGACAGGACACGGGCACTAGATGACATGCCAGGGAAGGGGAACCCCACCTACACCAGCGAGAGCGGGGAGGACGGGGACGATGGTGGCGATGGATTGTCGCGGCTTTCTCTGCAAAGCTTCGCATCATCAATCCCACAAGCTCGCAAGTAGCGGCAAAGGAGCAGATCACATCGGATGGCTCGTATCACTATCAACCCTAAACCACAACAAATCTCCTAGCCAAGCTCAGATCAGAGCAGATTAATATGGGGGCTTCAAGAATTACCTGCATTATTTTGGGGGGGGCTCCTTCTTACAAGTATACGATAAAGGACCCCAAAACCCTATTCTAAGCATTAAGGCCCCCTACATTATACTTGGAGGATCATGGGACTTAGTAAGGTTATAAGTCCCTTAATTGGGGTTATAAGTTATAAGTATCGTTACCCTAATTATAACCTACTTACTAAGTCCCATGATCCTTGAAGTACCCTAAACCCTAAACGCTAAACCCTAAACCCTAAACCCTAAACCCTAAACCCTAAACCCTAAACCCTAAACCCTAAACCCTACTTACTAAGTCCTAGGCCTGGCTTTCCTCTTCCTCGCCCCGGCCGCCGACGTCCGGCGGATCGCCTTTGCCCTGCAGACCGCTCTGCAGGGAGGCCCAAGGACTCCAGTTTAGGGGTTTAGGGGGTTTAGGG